ATTTTTTCGGAAACCGTTTTTCTGCAATAACTTTCGACCCAAGCATTGTACGAGCTTACTTTCACCGGCATCGTGCTCCTCTCGTCAAGACGCATCGAATGAACTATAACTTGACCTTGAAAGGTCAACTTGAAAATTTGACCTCAGGTCAAGGTCATGACCTGACCGGAAAGGGTCATGTTGCATATCAGTCGATCCGTATCGTCGAGCTGAACACATGTAAGGCGTTTTCATCGCTCTAGCATGCCTCTATCAAAAGTGATTTGCGAAAAACTGTTAGATACCATTCGTGACCTAAGATGACCTCAGGGTACAAACAAGGGTCACGGACACCATTTTCATGTTCAGTGTGTCTAACCCACTTGTAATTCGGTGTTTGGGAGTGTTTATAATGTCTTTCGTCCAAAAGAGGCGCATTTCAATTTTCTCCCATTGACTTATAATGGGGAGGTCGCAAAATTGACCTGACCTTAGGTCATCGATATTAAAATTCTGAGATATACATTTTGTACATGCTATTGCTGTTAGCAATCGCTGAAAGTTTCAAAGCGATCGGTCACTCGGTGTAGCTATGACAGACATTGAAACTTTTTATGAGGTGAGGTCACTTCAAGTGACCTGGTGACCTGACCTTGAATGACCTTGGTCTGAAATTTTCACAACATGTGTAAAATTGATGTATGATAAGGTGTACCAAAAACGGCTCGCGAAAAACCACAAGGGGGGGGTGTTCAAACACCCCCCCCCCCCCCCAGCAGGGCGCGGGTTAACACTTGGCATTACTTTGTACAATGATAAAGGCAGCATGCATGTCATCATGCGATATCTTCAAGCTAGGTTGCTGGTTGTTTGATCGCTTCACAAAGGTTGTTTTCGAGTAGTTTTTGGACGGCTGACGGTATAGTGGATGCCTCTTTCTCATAGTCTCTTTCCTTCAGTCGGACCGGAACCCGTTTGTTTTGTTGGGTTTATTTTGCTTGGATGCCTATCACGAAGCCGATAGCCTCTGTTTTCCGCATACCATTGGCAAATTTTATATTCTTAGGTCCCATACGAATGGATCACTAGTGGCTTTACATCATCTTCCCTCGGCTGTCCGTGCCATTCGCGTAGAACACCATACGTTATTCGTTGGCCCGACACGCCACTCTCAAGAACTCTGTCCGGAACTCTCTGTGACATATCTATCCCCTCCCCTCCCCTCACGCATGGCTTCCCTCCCCGATTGTCGGTCGTCTCACTGTTTATGACGCGTCACCTGGGCGGGGGTCTGGTGCCACGCGCGCCGGTCCTGTCCGTGTCTGGCTTCGCATCCAGTCGCCCCTCGGCCTGTCTACGCGGCTGGGCTGTTGGCCGCGCGGCTCATCTGTCAGTGTTCGTCGGAGGACCGCCGGAGCCGGGTTCTGTCTCGTTGGTTGTCGCTCGGTGGACTGTGGTGTCCACAGGCCGTGTCTACTCCCAGGGGACAGTGGTGTCGGTAGTGACAGGCCACTTGGCTGGTGCGGTGGTGCTTGGTGCCCTGCTGGTGAGGTTGGTGACTAGTGCCGCGGTGGTGTGAGTGGTGCTCCAGTGGTGCGCGTAGTTTTCCGGCTGTGGTGTGAGGAGTGCTCTGGTGGCGTGATCAGTCGCGTGCCACGTGACTCGGGAAGCCGGCGGTCGGAGAGGCGGAGGTTCCGAGGATGCCGTGCGACACTCCGATGGACCTGCCCGAACCAGATTCAGGTAGATGGACATGGGAGCTAGCTGAAGGAGAGGCGGGTGGATTTATCATACAGTCGGCATGCTATACTGTAACTCATGACTCATGGCTCGCAAGTGGCAGTGGCGCAGCTCCGAGGAGCTGTTGATATTTCGACGGTGAAGTTTGTCGAAATAGTGCCGGTGAACCTTATCGGGGCATTTGCTCTCACGATTGTATCAATATCAGTGACATGGGTGGGATTCATTCAGTATCTAGTTGCATTTGCCGTTGGCTAACACGTGCTCACTGTTCATTTACTTGACGGAAGGTGAGCACATGGGAATTGGAAGTTCTTGAAAAGCACACATGAGCAATTCATTTAGACCAATCCAGATCATCTGGTTTCCCGCGAGACTCTTCACTGTTCCTCAAATATCGTGCGTCCTAGGCAGCGTGTTCGTCTTCGCTGTCTTACCTGGGGAGAGTTTTCTAAGCTTCTATGCCTATACTATAACGTCGCGCTGGCACTGGGAGTATCGCGATGTAATCGAAACAACAGCCGATGCCTCCTCATCTAGTTCATCTGAGTTTTTCATTTGCCCTTAGGGACAGCAGGCTGCCCTTGCCCTTGAGCACTGCAAGCCTTGTCCTGCCTTCAACTATCCTACGTTTATTACTCTAAACACTTCTCATAACTCGCTGCAATGGGCTCTGATGGTCCACTGCACCGCAGCGACTTCTCTGGTCTACACTGCGTCTCATCGCTACTGAACCGGCTCTAACCAGTTTTTCCCAATGTGGGTACCTGGCCGGACCATCACGCCACGTTCCTGCTGCCCGCGGCTCCGTCTGGCCCTGGTGGCTGTACCTTGTCGCTCCTGTCCGCCCTGGCTCGCTCAGACTGCTGCAGCCCTGTTCAGTGACGATAGCGCGGAACTTTGTGCCAGCCGCAGTGAACGATAGGTGGCTTAGTGTGTGACCGTGATAGCAGTGAGAAACGACATAGTGAGCGACGTAGTACGGCACAATCGGCGGCGGGGCTGGGAGGGGGCGGTGTGCCGCGTTTGTGGGCCGCTCGTGGTCGGCGGGGGGGGGGGGGGGGGAGCTGCACGTCGTCTTTGGTCTTTCGTCACCCGTCTCTAATGTGTCGTCATCTGTCTCTTAACCCGCGCGGGGCTGGGGGGGGGGTAAATTTTACCCCCCCTCGCGAATTTTTGCGATATCTCAAAAACGGCGGCGCGCAGCGCCGCCAAACTTTCAGTACCTTTTCTTACATCAATTTGACACGTTCCCTGAAAATTTGAGCGAAATCCGTCGGAAATTTTTTGAGAAATTGACGTTTTAGTGACGTCATGTTCGCCATTTTCGCCTCAAAAACGGCAAAAGTTCAAACGCCGCTAACATCTTCATTTTTAAAGGAATCAAGACGTAACAAAAAAGGTTATACGTAATTTTACTTTGTCTATCAAATTGCTATCTCGGTTTTTTGAAAATTTTGGATTTTGGCCTAAATTTTTTCAAAAAACTGATTTTTTTGGGAAAATCATTATAAAATCCAAAATTTTGAGTCTATCGAAAAAACCGGAATATATGTCAGAGAAGTGGTCTATGTGCACCTACATACCAAATTTTAGAAGAATCGGTTCAAAAATATGGGAGTTATTCAAAATTTTATGACGTCACGACACACAAAATTTTCTAAAAATGACTTTTTTGGAAGTTCTAGACCTCGTACGGAAACAAAAATAGCACCATTCGATTCGCCGTGAAAAACTGCATCAGATAGACACCTTTTTAGGCCTTAACAACCAACTTCAAAATTTGACCTCACTTGACCTGACCTTGACCTGACCTCGACCTGAAATTCATCCAGAGGTGGTCCATATCACTTATTGAGTGTGCCTATTGAATTCTATGAGTAAAATGACCCATAAAACATGTGTCGCACATGCCTTTTTCTATATTTTGTTTTTTGGTGACCTGACCTGACCTGACCTGACCTTGACCTTGACCTCTAAATGATATTGTATGCAACGAATATTGTCTTGGTAGCCTAAGAACACGTTTTGGGCGATCAGTCTCAGTCCATGACTCCATTCTTCGGCAACTACGGTGCAAGGCCGATACTGTAGAAACTTGCAATTTGTACCCTTGACCTGACCTTGACCTTGACCTCAAACTTTAAATTAAGTACATGTTTTTAGTAGTTCGTGATGAGAGCTTTCGATTGGCGTTTGAATTTTCCAAATCGGACCATTAGTTCGGGAGATAACAGGGGGGGGGGGGTAAAATTTACCCCCCCCCCAGCCCCGCGCGTTCGGCTGGAGACCCCAGCCCCGCGCGGGTTAACTCCCACCCGCGTCCTGTACGGCTTCCCATTGTATCTTCTCGCTCATTCCGTCGCTTTTTGAAGTATTCTTCTCAATCCGCTGCTTAATCGCAACATCCTGTCAAACTTACCGTCATTCCGTGCTGTCCTCTGCATATTTTTGTCTTTCCTGTGTCCTCTCACTGTCATGTATTATCTAGCTCCTTTAGTTTTCCGCTTGTCCTGTGATATTATATCCACTCTGCGCCCACCGCCGCCCGTCCTGTCGTCCCCCGGTCCTGTTTCATCTGTCCTCAGTGACCTGTTCTCTGTCAGACCAAAGGCCACGGCCCGGACGTCTATTGTAAACGGTCCGGAGCAGGCGGGCCTGCGTGAGACGTTTCCGGGTATCTGGACAGAAATTGTGGGTCACCAGGCATCGATGGTCATTGTCAGTGATGTCATGGTGAGATAAACGAATGATGGAACGCATTTTATCTTGGCCGTCCCCAAATTAAGACATTTTATCGTTATTTGTACCTAATCGTCAAAACGGTTAGGTAGCAGAAATTGTTTTAGTTCTCAGTCTGATATCTATGTTGTCTATGTTGAAAATAAAGCATGACCATTGAATTCAGTGACGGATTGATTTATTGAAAGTCTGGCATTAAACCCAACTTTTGCCAAAATGATCAATGTTCGCTCACGCATGGTTTCCCCCCTCCCCATTTTCCTCCCTTTGCCTACCTCAACTCGGTATCACATTTCTCTGCAACTATCAGTTTTCCGCTCTGCAGTAAGAACGTATCAATTTACCTCGGTCATGTGGCCTCCGACTGACCAGCTGTCACCCTCCCCCCTCTCCCCTACCCCTGCCCCTCCCCGTCCCCGGCGGCTTTGCCACGTGTGTCAGCCGTCTGCCCGGTGATTCAGGTGACACAGGTGGGCCGGAGTGCCGCCCCTGTGTCCCTATCGATCGATTTGGTAGGTCCGGACCTGTGCGGTGGGTGCCCCGGTCGTCTCTGCTGTGTTGGTGGTTCTCAGGCGCGGACGGGTTGGCGAGCTGTGACGTGTGCTGCTGAGGCGTGTAGCTGTGAGTTTTTGTGAGTTGTAGCGGCGGTGGAGTTGCCTGCGCAGGGCGGAGCAATGGCAGAAGAGCCATCGAACTTGACGACTGCGGAGGCAGAAAAGGACTCTGAGAGGGGTGATGAGACTGAGAAGACTGAGTTAGTGGCAGACAGTGAGAAAGAGAGACCTGCGGGTGCTGAAGACAGGCAGACAAACGCTGAACCTGCCGCGGCGGTAAAGGAGAATGGGAAATCCGCTGATAAGCAGTCTGAAAATGGCCGTGCAAGTCCAGAAGAAGACTCCAGCACTGAGCCCCCAGCTAAGAATGGCAGGCAGAGTCCGTCCTCCAATAAGAAGGTGGCGAAGGAAGCTGAGTCTGCGGAGTCTCAGAGGTCGCCTAAGTCCAGCCGGGGAACGGTTGGCTCGACAACAGCGGCCGTTTCCACTCCCGTCAAAAAGAAACCAACGCAGAACGACATTGACTTGCTCCAGGGTAAAGTACCCTCGGGAATGTTTACCCTCGGTGTGATACTCAATTACCAAGTTTTTTTTTTACAACTTAGGTAGGACAAAATACTGTTTGGTTGGCGATGGGCTTTCCATTGAACTCGGATGTTTTGAAAGACGGGCCTCGCGCTTGATGCTCGGTCGTATCAAACAACCAATCTAGTTAAGTTGAATAAGCTTTGTATCATCTCTAAATTCCTTGCTCTTTTGTCCTACGCCGCTCTTTTGTGATGCCTTATGGTCATTTTGATGCGGCTAAGAACCCACGGAAACCGTAATTTTGAGCCCAATAGTGACTTAATTGACCTCTGGGTCTTCGAGCTGGATCATATCTGTTTTGAATGTTAGCATGATCTGTACCGTACGATGTGGCACAGATCATGCTAATGTGCACACTGAATTTTTAGCGTTTATGGGTCGCACGCACCTCCCGCAAGCGATTGATGCGAGAAGAATTATAATGTATTTGAATAGGCTCTCGCATGCGATTTCCTGAACGCGGAAAGAGTCTGTTTCTGCCTTTACAGGTATTCTCGATGTTTTGTGCTTAAATACTACCACTTTCACAACCCCTAAAGAACGTAGGACCCATTAGCTGAGGACTGCTTAGAATGAATCCCACGTAATTTTAGCAGTGGAAAGTTATAAAAATTGAATGTCGGTGAAAAATGAGTAATTACATCCAAATGAAATTTTCGGGCTGCTGCTGTGGCTACTATAGAAGGCCAAACATCATGATGCGATTTTAGCTCCTTGTCCGTCTGTCAATGTTATGAAATGTGTCCTGAACCGGTGGTGGTTACGTAACAAGTAACGTAATTTGGTTCGTAACGTCTGAGTAAACAGGTTATAACCGGCTGTTTCTGAGGACGTCTGCAAAAATAATCGCGATATCGCTCACGCTAGTTAGGTACTGGTTATTTCCTGACTTGAGAACAGTGCATGATAGTGCTAGCAAGTGATAGTGCTACCAGGTACCGGGCGAATGAACTTGTCAGGAATTTCGACCTCCCTGTCCTATCGGCTCACCCAAGCAACGCACACTGGTCGGAAACGCTCCAGCGAGAGGCCAGTGGCCTTTCCGCAAAAGTTTTTTGCTTGTTATTCCACAACTAGTGAAGCAAACTTCATAAAACTTTGCATACCTTCTCTGTCATATGTAAGCTATCATTTGGATGTCAAGCACTAAATATATGACGTGAAGCTGTTAAGTTATGGCGTCATAATTGAGTATAATACAGGATCTAGCACCACTTTAAGTCAACAAGGGAAATTGGGAGCTGCTATTCGGGCACCGGGAATGGTTTCAAGCACTCTTTGCAAGGTCCAGTGCTTCACTTTAGCATTGTTTACTTTTCGTGACGTCATTTATGACGTCACTAAGGCCATATAGGTTTTTCGTCAATAATTCCTGATCAGATGGAGCTAGAGAATCGGGAAAGCCACCATTGGACTCAGGAAGACCTGCCGAATCGAATGATATGCGATATGACCTCCTTCAACCATTTCCGTGACCTGAGGGGCTCCGACCTGACCTTGACCCGAGGTTAACACCTTGAGTTGACTTCACCCGAACACCAAGTATAGCATTCAACGCGCCTGAGCTAGACAAACACGATGATGCCAAAATCGCGGCAGTGCGACCATTTTTGGCAAAGTAATTAACCTAAAACCGAGCCCGTGCCTTGTCGCACTTACCTGACCTAAGAGGCCACTGGCTGACCTAAGACCTTAAAATCGGGTAGTACCTAATTGTTGCGTCTTATAACGGCACACAAGCTCGTTTTTTCCGCGAGGCTCTAGCTCAATTAGAGGCGAAACGGCGAGGGAGTTGTACCAACCCTCCCCGCTCAATATAGAAAACCAATCGGTCCGGCCACTGGCCAGGGTTAAATACCGGAATTGTGATCTAATGTAAAAAGACGGCCCAAGGTAACCCGACGTCAGTGACAGGTGTCCTATATTTGCAGCGTCTTATATTCACGAAGGTTTCAATTTCCACTTTCTTCAGCCGAGTGATGGCTGTCAATAGCAAGGCTCTCTAAATGTAAGCCGTAATCGCCACGCAATATGTGGGAGGCTTTTGATGTCAATGCATACATAAATGCATACATAAAACGCACTTTTCACAAAATTCATAAGCTCAAGCACATCTGTTTTTAATGACCAGTCAACTACGCATGGATGCGTGCAGGCCACACAGGTCAGTGTAAGCCGGGCGCGGCGGCCGAGCCGAAACTGGGGCGGGGCGGGCGGTACTTGGGTAGGAAGAGCGGCTCCTGCAAATTTTGCGCAAATATGCGCAGTTAGATTTTATGTTGCCCTGGTGTAAATCTAAATCCTGCTTCATCTCACAAAAAAATCAGAGTGGAACTAGATGGGACTACCTGTTGTTTCCTTACCTAAACTTTGCAGTTATATTCCAGAATCACTGTAGGAGAGCCTTCATAACAAAGCTACAGTAAATCTTAGTTAGGGAAAAAGTATACCAAAAATTTTGCACTGACCAGTCGGCAACTTCATAACGAACATTTTGATGCATAATATGTGGGATTTCAATTTGGTGTCTATCAGCAATAAGACTCTGAATATCCGGCTCAAGAAATCTCTTGCTCCGCGTCAGTTTCCGAGTTCTGGGATACCCCATCTTCGGGGGCTGATTACAGTTATTTTTGGTCACCCGGATTAGTTTTTTTGGCCTAAGTATAATAATTTGATCAATTTCAAATCGATCTATATAAAAAATAATCCGAAACTCCGGAATCGCCCGTGGCCTCTCGTGAGGGCGTTTCCGACCAGTGTGCAACGGTGCGACTCACCGAATGTCTGACTGGTTCCCGGTTTGGCCGCTAGTCGGCGCTGGTGTGGCGCATGGTGTTGTGACCAGCTGTGGGGTGGGACATGCGGGACGTTCGTCTGTCTGGTCTCATCCCTTCCCCTCCCCACCAAACCCATTACCCGGTGCCCTAAACCTCTGGCTCCATGTATGTCAAGCACTGTGCGAGATCATTGAGCGCCTTTGAACTTCCCACGAGCTCGAATGTAGCCGATGAACTTCGAGTCCCGAAGTCTTGAAAAAGGGCACAGCTCGAAGTAGACTCATGCTCCACGTCGCTGCCCAGCCCTCTTGGCCTTACATCGTCCGGCGATGGCGTCGGTAGCTTAATGATAACCACTGCTGAAAGCATTAACAGCCATGAGACAAATACTGATTGCCTACTTGTGGACGCGACCGTTCTCGAATTGTTATATGATTCAATAGTTGCGCGCTGCGATTGCAGTGTTCAGTGTTGATTGTCAAGTGAACGTTGCGTAATGCGACCGGTCCTCCAATGTTACACCAGACTTATCGGTATCATCGTTTGATACTTGGTTGTTACTTGTGGTCGCGGCCTTCGACTGCTCCGTCATGGCAGTTGGCCTTGTGAAGGAAAACAGGCGATCTCTCACAAAAACCGGCATAGTTGTGGAAAGCCAGCATTGGACATGCGAGCAGACGCTGGTTATTTACGTCGTGTTACTGTTCGCCTGAGACTGAATGCCTGCTCTTGAAATAACTGGAAAACAAATCCTATATCTCAAGGAAAAGTTCCTACCCGATGTGATTTTCTCTAAGCAGTTAATCCCCTACCTTTGCATTGTTTACCGGCTCGTACGTTATCAATTGTGTTGGTGGGTGTGGCCGAAAAATGACCTTAGCAGTCGGCGCGCCCTAAAGCCCCAATTAACAGAAGACAACCCGTGGCGCATCTCGTTTTCAGTTCTTAACCCGTGACAATCTCAGGTCTGCTGGCGTCTCTGTTGACTATCAGCTAGCCGTACTGATTTTCTATCCTTACTGACGTTCTCAGGTCTCCGGTGTCTTTGTTGAGGTGGCCGGTGACATGTACTGACTTCCCACCCTCCGACGTTCCCAGGTCTGCTGACGTCTTTGCTAGACGCGGCCGGTGATGTGTACTGACGTCCCATCCTCTGCTGTCCCCAGGTCTGCTGACGTCTTTGCTAGACCCGGCCGGTGACGTATACTGACGTTCCACTCTCTGCTGTCCCCAGGTCTGCTGACGTCGCTATTAGACGCGGCCAGTGATGTTCAGGACGAGGTGCGAGCGTCAGTCAGCACAGCAATATTCACACTGGGACGGAGCAAGCCGTACGATGTGCTGCTCACCGTCTTCAACTACCTCACTGCCGACCGGCCCAAGGTAATTCACAGGTGTTACTGGTGTCTCGTGCTTTCGGTCTCCGCTCCAATGAATCGCGAAGGAAGTTTGTGATAATGTGGGAGTTCTTATACTCTACTTTCTACTTAAATGGTGAAATGGAGGAGTATCCAAGGTGATGTAGGCTGTGTAACGACAGCGTTGTACGTACTGGTAGGATGGTAGGTACATATTTGAACGATATTTGAGCAACTACTCCTGTTTGTAGGAAATTTTATCTCCACAATTCCTCTCCACAATGCCTGTTTTTTTTTCTGCAATACGATCTTAGGGCACATGCCGACGCATGCCCGTCCATTCTCTCCTTTTTGACCGGCAGGGGCCTAGACCGTGAGAATATGTCGCTAACCCCGTCCATTGATCTCTATTCCGACCGGTAGGGCTTTATGCAGCGGACCTGCATCCTGCATGCTGTGGAGATCTTTCTCTAACCCTGTTCTTGTCTCCTTTGTAACCGGCAGGGCTTCATGCAGCAGATCTGCATCCTGCGGGCTGCGCACTGTGTATGTTTGTCCCTGACTTGCCCTTTCTCTCGACAGGGCTTCATGCAGCGGATCTGCATCCTGCAGGCCGTCGAGGAAATATGCCGTGACGTGGGCGCCGAACTGGACGACCACGAGGTCATGGAGATCGCGCCGCTCATCGTTAATGAGATGGTCAGCAGCAAGTGAGTCCTGGATGGAAAGCTACCGTCATGTGATCTTGGTGGGACACGATTGCCGAGTAAGGTGACGCGGAGTCCCTGAAGGTTTTCCTGGTGAACCGGAAGGTTTCGTTTACTGTCCATCGAATGAAGTTGTCGCGAGTTATCCAGCTTGCAAATAGCTTTCGCACTTAATCTCCTGAGCGAGTTGAGCGTGTTTTGATTTGCTACGCAGCCTGTTTTGTCAGTATCTTTAACTTCCGCCCGCTATAATGGTGCTGCCCGCTGACTGCAGCACCCCCCCCCCCCATCTCTCCTGTTCTCAGAGAGGTGATACCACAGATCCAGCAGCCGTGCTCCGAGGCGCTGGTCGGTCTGGGACAGAACCACTGTTTCCAGGTGAGGTCTCGGACAGAACCACTGTTTCCAGGTGAGGTCTCGGGCAGAACCACTGTTTCCAGGTGAGGTCTCGGACAGAACCACTGTTTCCAGGTGAGGTCTCGGGCAGAACCACTGTTTTCAGGTGAGGTCTCGGACAGAACCACTGTTTCCAGGTGAGGTCTCGGGCAGAACCACTGTTTTCAGGTGAGGGGCAGACGCGTGAAAGTGCTGGTGGAGGCCCGGGGGGAAGCTCGGAGTCCTGTGGGCTGAGGGGTCTGTCTCAGCAGATTTGGGTGGTTTCGCAGGGTACAATGTATATGCTCTGCTTTGCTGACATCCCATGACAATTCTGCTGGGCCAATCAGGTTGTGTTCTGCTCCATCCCCTGACAAGGTGCCTTTTAGAGATATTTTATCGATTAATCAGCTTGATGTTGGCTGTGCGTGGCTGTGCGCCCGCTTGGTACACTCCCAGCTCGTTTACTCCCTGTCTAAAAAGAACCACACTCCCTGTTTAAACGCCTTACCCCCCGACATTTTCGTTTGTTCCTTTTCTTCCCTGACCCCTCCCGACCTGACCTGTGACCTCTGTGACCTATGTGCGCCGCCAGGTGATGGAGATTCTCACCACCAAGCTGGAGACGTCTCAGCTGCCACACTTTTACACGCTGCAGACCATGGGCTCCCTGGCCACCTCAAACGTCTACACTATGGTGCCCTTCCTCAAGGGCATCCTGGGGCCCATGCAGCCCATGCTCAACATGGTCAAACAGGACAACCTCAAGTGGGCCTTCGCCTTCGGTGAGTGCCGCTGAAATCAGATCCTTCTCTCGTGTTTCGATTTTGTCAGTAGATCTTCAAGTATTGGGTTGAATTATAGTGACGCGAGGCCGCGGTAGCCGTCCTGCTTTTCGCTAACTTTCGATTATTGCTGATTTCGACAGGGCAAAAACAATAAATGAAAATCGAGGTACGCGAAATATCGAGCAAGGCCCATAACGTTGTTTCTTGTTCCTCTTTGTTTTCTTACCACTTCCTCCTCCGCCAGTGATTGCCCGGTTCTGCGAGTGTATCACTGAATACCTGGCCAACATCGATAAGGCGCCCGACCCGCTGGTCAAAAAGGAGTTCTACTCCACGGAGATCAACTCGGCGTTCGACATTCTCTTCAACTCCTGGCTCACCTCCAAAGACTCCAAGGTAAGGGAAGATTCTCTTCGCTTGGGCGAATATCGTATATTTCGCGAGGATCAGGCGTCATTTTCGAGCCGAACCGCTGATGCTTATTGTCTCTGAATAACTTGAGCATGATTGAGTGCTAGTTTTAGAGAAGGAATTGTCAGAGCTCACTGCTCTCAACCAGCCCCACCTAACCTTCCCTTCTCTTCCCTACCCCTTTCGTTCAACAGGTGCGACTTCAGGTGGCGGAGTCGATCGGCCAGATGGCACACATCATGGACACGGACAAGCTGTCCGAGTCGCTGACCAAGCTGCTGCCGGCGCTGCTGCAGCTCTACAAGCGCCACTCGGAGCCCTACCCGGTCACCTGCGCGCTGGCCATGGTGCTGGACGCCTCGCTCATCACCGGGAAGCACGTGCTGGAGCTGCACATGGAGGCCATGTTGACGGCGCTGTTCCAGCAGGTGTGCGCCGTTCCCGACTACACGCTGCCACTGACGGTGAAAAACCATTACGAGGTCCTGCGCTGCTGCGACACGCTCGCCAAGTGCAGCCCCGATCCGGTAGTGAGCTTCTACCTGAACCGGTTGGGCCACAGCTCGGATCGTGTACGGACCGGGTCGCTGACCGTTCTCAAACACCTCATCAACGCCTCAGAGTTTGAGCTGGCGCAGAAGGTGCCCGATATCGAAGGAGGGTTACGCCTGCTGCTGATGGACCCGTCAAACAAGGTGAAGAAGGCGCTGACGCAGGTGATCATGGCGCTGGCGCACCGCGGCTTTCTGACACAGCAGGACGGCGCCGTGTTCGTCGAGTTCATCGTGCGCCAGTGCTGCCTGCCCGACGAGCCGCCGGCGCGCCGGCCGGCAGAGGCCGATGTGACGGCTGAGTCTCTGCGCTCCATGTGTGAGAATGTGCTCCACCTGCTCAGTACTACCGTGGACCAGATGCTGCCGCTGCTGTGGCCGCACCTGCTCGAGTATCTGACGCCAGAGTATGCCGGCGCGCTGCCCACGGTTATTAAATGCGCGGCGCAGCTGGCGGGCCGGGCGCGGAAGATGGACCCCGAGCCGGACATCTACGCCAACAATCGTGAGTGGAGATTGTGGACGGGGAGGTAGCTACTAACCTTAAAAGGTTGCCTGATATAGTTGTCCTAACAAGATGAACTAACTATGCACGTGGGTTTTATAGCGAATATCTGTTTTGGACATTCAACTTTGTGCCTTACGCCATTTCATTTCAGCCTTCAAAAGTTTATCCGATCAAATGCTTGCTTAATTTGTACATTGTATCCCGCTTTCATGCTGGAAGTCCGGTACTGAGGATCGGTACCGTCTCTCTGCAAACTCACTGACTTGATTAGCCGCCGTCTTCTCCCTCGCTCTGACCGCCCCCTGTTCTCGCTCTCCAGCGAACCTGCACCAGCCGGCCACGCTCCTCTCCTACCTAATGGTTTGGCTCGGCTGTCCGGAGCCCGGCAGTCGCGGACACCACACCCTGCAGCTGATGGAAGGTGTGGTGAACCAGATCAACACCGGACTGGCTGAACTCTGGGACCTGCGGCTGCCAGAGCTCACCGATAAACTCAACGGTCAGTGGTGGAACTGGGTGGTAGTACCGGTGAGAAACCCGCCGATGAACACGGTTATGTCGACTAGCTATATTAAAAACTCTTCAGTTGGTGTTAGGCTCGTTATAGGCACTTGCTAAAAAAACTTATCATGTGACCGCGATCGGATAATTTCATATGCGAGTTGTTGTCTGAGTGCGATCTTGATATACGGGACCACTTTGTCTATCATTCTCAATGAACAGATAAATCGCTCTCTCACTATCCCTCGCTCCCTCTTCTCCCGATTTTCAGAGAACTACGACGGCCGCCAGCGCCGCGAGTGGGAGCAGTCTGTTCTCTCGTTCCTGCGCGAGTCGCTAGTGGCTGTCGACAATCAGGAGTGGGTCGACCAAGTCGGTGAGTCCGCACTCAGCCCGAGTTTACCACTCAGCCTCGGTCTGAGCGGCCGTGAAAGAGGGAGGAGGCGGTAGTGGTGGTGGGTGGGGTAGAGTAGACTGTCGTAGATTGACGCTTCTTCGTTTTGTTTTATTTTATTTGAGGGTAGTATGCGTCCTGTAGTGACTGCTGTTTCGCACTTCATTGCGGCTCGGCGTTAGGATGTGTCTCGGCATATTGTAAAGTATCAGCGCGTTTTTAGGCTATGTCGCGGCGCGGGCTGAGGATATTATGTCCGCGGCACTGTGACGCGGGCCGAGTCTGTATGTCGGCGTCGCTCTGACCATCGCCGGTCGACGGCTGGCTAGGCGCGCTCGGCAGGTTCTCGCCGCTGCGGACTGCGGCCACCTCGGCACTGGTCATCAGCCCCCCTCCCCCGCTGGCCACCCCAGTGGCCGCAGCGCGCAAACAGATGGATTCGGCGGACGTCGGTCAGTAGTCGGTCCCGCGCGCGCAGTGGTCCCGCTGCTCTTCTAATCGAGCTCGTGCGGCCGTGGAGACGCTGCTCCGTTCGATGTGGTTAACTGGGCGGCGCGGGGTTCGGTCGGCCGGACGCGGAGCGACTGAGAAAGTTCCGTGGTAGTTTCGGTTTGACAGGAGGTGGTAGAAGATGCGGAATAACAACAACACCCTCCGGCATGGCATGATTCCTATGTTTGGTGTAATACGTGGGTTACCCTCGGTTTGCTGCGGGACTCGCGGGGGCGTGCGGGTGGCAGGACTGACTGACTGACTTCTCGGGGGCTGCTGAAGCTCTGTAGTGAGGGTCGCGGGACCACTGCGTCGCGGCTGATCTGGGCAGGCCGGTACTGGTGTGTGGGGTGCGACTCCGGGTGCAGGTCGAGGTGCTGCTCAGGGTACAACTCTAACTGCGACTCTGGGTGGAGAGTTGAATGCCGGAGGAATGCAACGGCTCTGATCCCGGGTGGAATGGTGCTGGAACATTCCGCCAATAACTGCGTGTTGCTGTGGTGGGGATTAAGAGTGTGCCGCTTCCCTGATCAGCTGTAAAACTTACTTGGGTTAGGCTACTTAGCAGCTCAGCTCAGGCGTCTTTTCAGGTATGCATGTGAAAACTGGATGGTGTTTGGAACTACTGGCCTGGATTCTGAGTAAAGTTGACCGACCTTTACAGCTATGCCTTCATTTGTGTCTTCGGCAGGGGGAGAAAACTGGTTGCAGTGTTAATCTGCATGTCAATCTCATTTTAAAATCTGATGCATGTGTAGATTGGTTCAGAACGCCTTCTCTGGCTCATATATAACAAAATTATGTTTGCTTCATCTATAGGATAGTCACAGATAACAGTAGTACTGTGTACTACTGTGTACTACTGTGTGTACTACTATGATTACTGGGATAGTAATCATAAACTTCCAACGAATCTTTTTTGGTGATAGTCTGCGTGTCTTACATAAACTACGGGAGAGCCTAATAATCTGTTTTGAAAATAAATTTTGTTTTTAGGATGCTGCTAAATATCCTTGCTTTGCTTCCTTGTCTTGACTGTTTCTCTTATCAATATTCGGTTGAAGCTCTGTCATTGAAGCGGAATACCTCGCTCCCAGCTATTGATGTTTCTGCGCATGTCTCTGAATATGGACGCATTACAATATAGCAACACCGGACCAGGCTCATTGTTCCCTTCTCGTTATCGATCAACACCTCCCTGCGGCAGCTGTATAACAACCTTTATGCCAATTCACTATCTCGTTATCTTCACTTATGCCACGCCACCGTCAGCCCTCATTCATCATATGCAACCTGATGGTGCTCTTCTGACTTTTGGGAGCTTCTGCTTTTCCTTGCCTTCTTCTCCGCAGCTGTCTGTCTGCCTCTGGATGATTTTTGTCGCACATTAATTGCCGTCTCTCAATCCTTCGACTCTCAATAACCCTCTGTCGACCCCTGAGACCCAAGACTCCTATGACCCCCGCTGACCCCATGTTGACCCCCCTGGTAACCCGTTATACCCTCAGGCGCCGCGATGGCCGGTCATCTGAGCTCGACGCTGTACGCGGAGCGGCCACGCGAGCGGGCCTTTCTGATGCGCTGTATGGCCGCGTGCGTGTGCCGCCAGCAGCACAAGAAACTGGTCTGCGCCCACATCGACTCGATATTCGCGTCCGTGAGGCACACCGAGTCCTGCGAGAGACAGGTAGGTGTGGGCCGGGGCGGCGAAGTTAGATTGACCGTGACAAGTGGTCAGAAGCAAAATTGAGTATATGCTGATCTTGAGGAAATTATAGACATCAGAATTATATTAATAGCTCTCGCCCGACCAACAGCCTTTGGTGCGACGCCTTTTACATAAGAGTGTTCTGGATTTCCGAGTATTTGTGGCGGGCTTGTTAGCTACAGTCTTAACTATGACAAACCCGCCTGCATTGCGGGGGGTGTAAATTTGGCGGCTTTCCGGGCCTATGGGCTTGGTGGTTGTCTTTCTTCTCTCCTGCTGTGTTTACGATGACTGACTAACGTTTTGCTGTTCTCTCCAGGGCTGCGCGCAGGCGCTGGGTCTGATCTCGTCCGTCCACCTGGACCCGGTGCTGGCCAAACTGGACCAGGTGGCGCGCGCAGAGCTCTCCAAGAAACCCACCGGCCTGCTCGGCTTCATGAAGGACACCAAGGTGCGACGACTCGGGCGGTACTTGTCTGAGAATGGGCCGCTATCTTGTGGCGCTGTGTCATGCTTTTTTCTGCATCGTGTTTTTGAACAAGGCGACTCCTTATCTGATGAGCAAAGTAACAGCACGTTCAACTGGCATGTCGTGAGCTGTTCAACAGTGCCCCTGACATCGTGTCCAACTGTCGTTTTCTCCTCAATAATTGTTTCAGCAATCGTTTTCACTGCTGCTGCTGATAGAATATATCTTCGAACCCTACTCTAACTCTCTCTGACCGACACCGTTCTCCCCACGCACAGGGCGAGGCGGCCCAGGAACGGATGCGCGCCACGGTGATCCTGTGTTACGGCCAGGTGGCGCTGATGGCGCCCCAACACCTGCTGCTTGAGCGCTTCGAGGTGCCCGTGTTCCGCGACCTGCAGACCTTCCTGCCCAACTGCAAGGTGAGCGAGCTGGGGTCGATAATTGCTTTATTACGGTCCAGCCTTTCGACAGCTGTCTGGATAGGCAAATATTAGCCTATTATTATATTATTATATTATTATATTATTATATTAGCCTATTATAATATTATTATATATATTAGATAGGCTATGTGTCCGTTACCTCTTTTTATCTAGTTACCTCGCACAGGACGGACAAGTGATTTCCTCCCTCCCTTCCTCCCTATCTATATTTTCTATCTCCATCTCATTCGCTCTCACTCAATATTGGCTGACCCATCTTTTCTCCCCGGCAGCAAATCTCCTGCCGTCTTTCGGCACTGTGGCTGCGCCGTAGTGCTGTGCGTCAATGCACGATTTATCGCCGTCTGTTTTTGTCGAAGTTATGTGCGTGCAAGACAGTTTGGTTTTGCATTTTCCTTTGGCATGTTATTCATGGTGAATGCATCAGTCTTTATTTTGGCAATCCTCCGTGCAGACTGCGGAGGTGCGCCGTGCCACCGTCGAGACCTCTGGCGAGCTGTCGCGCGCTGCTCTAACCCTCCCCTCCCTTCCTCAGACCGCCGAGGTGCGTCGGGCCATCGTGGAGACCTCTGGTGAGCTGGCTCGGGCGCTCCACCCGGACCGTCTGAAGGAGAGGTACCGGTTCAGAGGCCGGGACCAGCTGCTGCAGTTCACACTGACGGCACTGAGGACCGAACACGAACTGGAGGTGGTCCACCAGATACTGGCCTCGGCCAGGGCACTAGTGTAAGTGAGCGGAGAAAGGGAGATAGTGACGGGAAGCCAGGAGGTAGAGTGACGGGAAGCCGGGAGGTTAGAGGGACGACGGGGAAGGTAGAGTGGTGAGAGCAAGTAACTAGACCGGCCAGGTGGCAGGGAGGGTGAAAAGCTGGACTCAGGAGGTAGATGCGTAAGTTGTCTGTTATGTCTCTTTGTGGTAGCTCGCTGGAGGCTGGACCCCGCCGTACATGTCTGTCGCCGTTTGTGGCCCGTCCTCATTCTGTGTCTGCATCTTTTTTTTGTGATCCGCGATGACCTTTGTCTGGTTGTAACAGGTCGTAGACTCCACTCTGACCTACACCTATATGCGACAGGTCTCTGGACCCTGCGCTCACCACCGAGGACCGGACCGGTCTGATGAAGACAGTGTTCGAGGCCGTCTATCCCGTCCGTCGTGAGCTACCCCAAGATCACGAGTCCACAGCTCAGTACCAGATTCACAGGAAGGTGAGGCGCTCACACTAAAGGTCACACGGCGCGGCTCGATACTAGACTCACTGGAAGCTCCGAGTGGGTATACTACCTACTTCGACAAGCTTGCCTGCCAGCCTATGGATTCTGACGAATTACTTTTAAAAGCGTTTAACATGTAAAAGTGTCTAGCAGAATGTATTATTTACACTCGTATTTATTAGAAAGCGATTAATTAGTGTCTAGTACCAAAGCTGGGCGACCAGCGACAGTGCACTTAATCACGCTGTACTGAGGCCTGTCACCATGGAGAACAACTTGATGACCAGCGACCTATTGCTCCTTCTCCAGATTATCTCAGAGCGGTGTGCACGTGGCGTCTAACCCTCCCCCTCCTCCCCCTCAGATAGTCTCCGAGCTGGACCGTTTGGTGTGCACGTGACGTCTAACCCCTCCCCCCCCACAGATTGTCTCCGAGCTGGACCGTCTGGTGTGCACACTCCTGCTGCGCGACGTCTCGCCGGCCGTGCTGGACGACCTGGTGACGTCACTGGTGCCCTGGGTGACGTCACAGGCGGCCCACGAGCGGGCGCACAGCATGTCCACGCTGGGGATGGTACTGCAGACCTACCTGGACAACGTGCACGTCGGAGAGGGGGTGAGTGCCGGAATAGCGGAGGAGGGCCAGTCCAGCTGAGGAGGTGTGAATATTAGCGAGAAAAGCAATGTGGTCAGGACGACACTTTTTATTCTTGTGAGTAATCGCAGCACATAATCAGTAGATTTAGATTCGATAAGTTTCCCCGAGAACTGCGTTTGCAAGTTAACAATAATCGGAAACACATTCAGCAGCATACCTATACTGAATTTCAAAGGAGCCGAAACTAATGTTGTGTGCATAAAAGGTCACTCGACAGTCGACATTGATGCTGAAATGTTGTTTTCTCGTATGTGCATTCCCTTGTCCAATTCTCCTTGGGTAAGTGTGGGTGTCGCTCAGAAGCCAGCTACCGAATTAGCTTCACTTTATGTTCAGTGGCTTGTGTAAAGGGCATCGACAGCCTGCACACTCTAACCAGACCAATAAATTTGCTCCGAGATGAATATGAACTTGATTTCAAATGGCAATCTAACACCTGGTCTGAGTCGACGTTTATTTACGCTGTATGTTTGGGTGCCATTGAAGGTTGTTTGCCATCCACGCATTCATTCCCTTCCACCGCCCGAGGTATGCTGCGCCATATTTGCTCTAACCAAATATTTCCAGCGCCTCAATGCTAGCTGACGCAGTTTCCCGACAGCCAATGGGCGCCGACTTTGGTGATGTCATGACGAGGCATGGCGGCGCTGTTTGAAGGAGTCTGAGCCACGCCCTCAGTGCTGTATTGAGTCCCGGACAACAGCTGATGGTCCATTGGTGGGCTGAGACACATGGAATTCGGACGTAACGAAGCTTTTTCAGCGATTTAGATGATAAACGTAATTATCGCTTGCGTCTCACATGATGAGACGATTTGAAATAATGCGGAAGTGTCGTTAGTTTCCACGAAAAACATGATCATAAGAAAAATTATCGCGAAGGTGCAAAAAGCGTGCAAATTCTTATCAAATCTACCTGATGTTAGGACATGGGCACGTTTGATAGAAATTTCCATTATAAATCGTTTGAAATTCAGACCTACCCCATCAAGTCGCAGCTTTCTTTTATTGACTCGTTTTCCTAATCTGCGCCTGTAATGAGTGACTGATGCGCGAATTTTGGGAAACCTAACAGGGGTTAGAGCCTGGGGGTTACTTTAAAAAGGAAAGGTGGCTTTCATTAACTGGATTATTGATGCGGTAGCGACAAAAATCCAACATGTCTATTGTCTAAGTAAGTTGATGATGGTTCAGACCAAGGTCGGACCGTCCTACTCGACAAAGCCAAATGAGATAGACCTGCAAAACATTCATTGTGGGCTCAATCGATTATTCCACCGCACACCGCGGCACCAGTCTTCCATTGAGGCATCTGCTGCCCCGCCGATCGTCAAACATTAGAATCAAGAATCAAGAATCAAGGTTGTTTGGGCTCTGGAAGAAGACGTCGAGGTCTATGTTGTAGCCCATTTCTTTTTTGAATTACACGTTCTCCTACATCAGTTTGATTTTTCTTGGGTCAGTCTTGTCCGTCTGCCCGATGTTTGTCGTATCTTGACTTAAATTGGTTAGATGTTTTTGCCATCTTGATGTGAGAGCTTAACAAATTCCATTTATTTATAACTCTTTGTGAGAAAAATCTTCCTCTCTTCAATGTTCGGTGGCGGAACTAATTCCATTAGCAGGTGGAGCCTCCCATACAACATTGAGACGGCCAAAACACACTACCGTGCCGTTCGGTCTGGTTAGTGAGGCAGCGTTTCGTTCTCCTGTATTATGTTTTCTCTGTGCTTTTATGACGACACGTGACGGCGCTGTCACGTGGTGGACAAATAGCCGCGGGAAAACTATACACTGTGGCAGAATGTGACTGTTGGACTGACTTGGTGGGTTGAAAGACTGGTGAGGGCAGCTACTTGTACACTTATGTACCTCCCATTTATGACAAGTTAGGTGTCGTGTAACACCGGGATTATTGGGGCAGGCGTTAGTTTAGTCTGAGCTGCTGGTATCATGATCATGAGTTGTCATTATTATGTCTTAATCCTGACGTAGTTCGCCTAGCCTACGCTGCCACCGATGTCTCGCTTTATCTGTGGCAGCCCACCTTTCCGGGCCTGTTGTAGCCTGCAGTGTCAGCTAAATCGCCCACCCCCGCATCAGCTAAACACTGTCCCCTTGCGTCCCCAGCTGGGCCCGGTGAGTTTCTGCGTGGGTGGACAGCTGCTCGCCACTCTCGTCCCGCGCTGCGTCGACCCCGAGCTCACCATACGGCCCATCGCCTTCGACGCCGTACACACCGTGCTCAAGTGAGTCGCTGCGTCAGTTTGGCGAGTTGTGAGCTGTCAGTCGGACGAGTTGTGAGTTGCATATATCTTCAGCTGCATCTGAAGAATACAATAGGATAATTCTTATCTTTGTTGGCTACCTTACCTTATTCACAAAACGTCGGCTCATTTTTTGTATTTGCATACCACGCATCAACCCCCCCCCCCCTGCTCAGTTTTGGGCTTCTCTCTGCCTGGTTGTGGTGCCCCTTTGCCCATCAGGATCCTCTCGCTGATTCTATGCCGTGTATGTAACTCTCAGTAACAGTCTACCACTCCGTTTTCCCGTCTGCAGGATCCTTTCGCTGTACGAGGGCAGTCAGTGGGACATGGATGCGATGGCAGAGCTGAGAGAGAAGATACTGAACGCCGAGGAGGCCAACATCAAGGAGGACATGGCCACACTGTCCCAGGTGAGGGCGGCAGTCTGGGGAAGAGAGTGGAACGTTGATGATAGGGATTTGACAGCATGTTGTTTGTTGGCGTGGTGTGCGTTTGAAGGTGCTGTCAACTCCACATACTCCACAATATGAACTTACACATATAATTACATGATATACGAGTACATAGATGGACATAGACCTGTACATCGAGGTCTATGCTATGACGACTTTCATGACAAATATACTTAGGTCTGATATAGATAGAGGCTCTTTGCGAGCTCTGAGCACATCTTCGAATGCTATTCAAACTGGTGTAGAAGAACGCGTAATTCAAAAAAGAAATGGGCTACAACATAGACCTCGACGTCTTCTTCCAGAGCCCAAACAACCTTGATTCTTGATTCTTGATTCTATTATGATAACACTTCCAGTCTTTCCATAAGATGCACATACTTACGAGTATAACTACACGGAACATATTCGTATCCCACCATTTACCACATCAAAAGAATTAAATATGGGCAGTATCATTCTGCCATTTATCACCAGAGTATGCAATCTACTGAGGGCATCTACGAGTTATCGTGGTCCACAATGGACGCAAACCAGCTCCACCAAAGGGTCCGCACTATTTCACGGTAGAACGAGCTCTATGACAGACTAAGACGCCATTCGCGTCTTAGGCAACCGCGTCTTTGGCTGCCCATCCACGGTCTGGAACCCATAACTCCCTTTTTATCCGGGGCCTCAAACTCTCAACTCCCTTATCAGGAACTCCTGACTCCCTTATACAGAGCTTCGAAGTCTCTTATCCGGAGCCCCTCACTCTCATAGCTGAAGCCGAAGTTCGCTGGCCGCAGCCAAAGACTCCACGTAGTATGGAGGGCCCAGATTCTCCCCATCTGAGCCACCAGGCTCGTCCTCTATCCGTCCCTATAATCCCCTGACCACGCCTTAGCTCCCACTTCACTGCCAATAGATTGTCTAGTCAGGCTTTTCATACTTTCCTGTAAGGGTCGCCCACAGTTCTCTGTCAGGGTCACGCGACTTCACTGTCCGTGCCGCCAGCGCAGCATACCGTCCTGTGTGGTTCGTGGACTTCTCGTCGCCCTGCCGGATGGTTGAGTGTAGCACAGGCTACACTCAACCCGACACTCCTTTGTGTGTCTCACTGACCGACGGTGACGGTGGCTGGCGTCGGTGTGGCCGCCGCACCGTCCTCAGTCAGCAGGAACTGCATCAGCACGATGATGTAGGTGACGATGGTGGAGCTGATGGCTACCATGGTGGGCCGCTGCAGTCGGTAGAACGCCAGGTCGCCGATCCCATCCAGGTCGCGGCGCGTGGCCTCCAGCAGTAGGAGGAGCTCCTGGTTGGTGGCCACATCGTCCGAGTGCAGCCGCAGCAGGTCGTCCCGCAGCTGAGCCGAGCGGTCGATGAGGCGCTGAGCCGACTCACAGGGCATGATTAGGCTGAAGGTGGCGCGGTACATGCTGAGGACGAAGGATGTCAGGTGGTGGTGGGCCTGCCGTGAGCGCACAGTGAGAACCAGCAGGAGGTAGGTGTAGATCTTGGAGAGGATGCCGTAGAACATGGAGGACACCAGCTCTATGCGCATGCCGTCCATGAGCCGGCGGGAGGCAGTGCTGAGCGCGTCGTGGCGGCGCCGGAGCAGAGTCAGCCGCCGCCGGCAGACGGGGCCCTCCTCGACCATGGCGCGCACCTCGTCGTTGAGCGCCGTGGCGCCGCAGCTGATCAGTGCCACCGCCAGGCTCAGTTTCACCGGAATGAAAAATACGCAGATGTCGAGCAGCATCTGCAGCAGAGCGTAGAATACGGCCGCGGCGCAGGCGTCGGCGCCCTCCTCACACCGGCGCCGGATGCCCAGGTGTAGGAGGTGGTTAACCAGCACAAACCCGGCCACGGCGACTGTGAACGCGAGCAAGCGATGGGTGAAGCGGCGCAAGTTGGCGCAGGCGATCGCGCGCCGGCGGACGTCGACCGTGTCGAAGGTGCGCCGCGCCTCGGCGAGCAGTGCCGGGTAGTGGCGTCGGCCGAACAGGAACGTGCACGTGATCGGTAGCCAGGTGACCACGTCCATCACCCCGAAGAAGGACGTGTCGAAGGCGGTGGCGAAGAAGGCGCCCGTGGCGTTCAGCTCGCGCAGACCCGACTGCAGGTCCTTCAGCGCGAGTGCCAGCGACGCGTAGGTGAGCGGCGCGTACAGCAGGAGTGCGTAGGTGGTGGGGAGCAGGCCGCGGCCGCTGCTGTGGCCTGTGGCGCGCAGCAGCCAGACGATGACTCGCGCCGACCAGGGCTCGCGGCACGGCGCCGCGTCCACCATCTCCTGCTTGGCCCCGGAGCGGCGGCCGCTGACCGGGGCACTGTCCCGCGGCCCGGAGATCATAGAGGGAACGTACACTGGGTGGGGCGGGAACTCGGGGCTGACCTGTTGTAGCATCGCTGGTGTCTGCCGATCGCCGCGCTGGGTGTTCAATTGCTGTCTGTTGGAAAATTAGCTGGAAAATCGGTCTGTTTGTCTGGTCTGGTGACGAAGGGATCCTTCGATTGCCTGTGTGCCTCAGATCAGCTTCTCTGCCTTTTCTTTTCACAACGATCCTGAACGAATTTTCAACACCGTCTAGGACAAACTCTTCGTTACCGAACAAGAGATATGATTGGCTGCTTCACTCACTAGCTGTGGAGGGCCCTCAGCCTTTACTCATACCGACAGCAGCTGTCTGGGCTCATTTATACCACCTCCCATCGACCGCGTCCTCCCGTCCCCTCGGACGTCCGAGCTCTGTCTTTTTCACGGGACCCTCCTAGACGTCTTTTGCCCAGTCAATGGGTGACATTTGACGTCCCAAACGCCCGCAAACACAGACCGCAATGGTGCTCTTTGCTCGGGTAGGTTGCTATAGATAGTCTGTGCATTGTGGGCGAGGAGGTGCGCCATGCCATCCCGCACTGCCACTACCTGCGGTCGCCAATGTTTGGGGAGTTGGTCGTAGCGTCAACACGGGCGTGCTGTGTGTTTGATGGCTACAGCAGCGCCCAACCGCGAATTGCAATAGCAGTGGGCGGGTGGCCGGGCACATGGCATTTGTCACCGTCTTTGATAAGTTACGTTTGGCTGCCTGCGCTGCCCGTTGGTTTTGGTCGATCATATATGGTGTTCCGTGGCGTGTTTGTTTTTGTTGCCGTATTGTGTTTTTGTTGCCGTATTGTGTACTTGCTGGATGGCGGGTGTCCGGGTGTATGCCGCAAATTAAACGGCTATTTCCACATTTGTTGGTGAAATCTTTAATAATGTTATTTGTTTTTGACTTGGAGCCCGTGTCGTCTCATTCAGAATTTGAAGCTTGTTCAATGCGTTCTTCAGTATACCTCATATGTTCGTAATTTATTGACAAGCGGCTATGGGCTCGTATTGACGTCGCTAATCGGTGCGATGCCTGAAACACCCCAACTCACTAATCCAACGGGGCATTGGGGCCTTGCTCGACATCTCCCTCTTTCAATTAACTTTCCCGAACCCCTACGTCCTCATTCCTCTTGCGGGCCTCCCAGCTGACCCCACCTACCTACTCCTTTTGACAGATTCTGAGCGAGCGGGTCAGCTCGACGCAGATCCGCTCGTTCTTCGAGACCCTGCTGCCGGGTCTGTTGGACGTCCACCCGACCAGCTCGCTCGGCGGAGCCGTCACCGTCACCGTCCTACTGCGCATGCGCGGCGCAGAGTTCTACGAACACGTGCCGGAGGTGCTCCGTGAGTTATGAGGGGAGGGTGGAGTCGACGTGGAATGTGCAGGCTGGAAAGGATGTTAATCAGTGTTGATGGTGAACGCATTATCGTCAATTGGTCTTGGATGAGAGCATTCAGAGTTAGGGACTCCTGATGCCTTGTTATCAAATGTCTCATTGCAAGGATATCAACTACATAGTACCTACTTGTTGTTGTTTCCGAACATCTTATGGTCCTCGGAAGTTTAAATGCAATGATTCAGTATACGCGATCACACACGTTGGCAGCCACAGCCGAACTTGTAATCGTGTCTCCTCCCATTTACACTGCTTTCTCCGCTGTGTTTCAGGCGGTCTACACACCAAACTATCCGAGATAACGCACCCAGAGACGCGCCAGGAGGTACTAAATGCCGTTCAGACGCTCTCATCTCATCACATCGTGGCCGTGACGCAGGCCCTGCTCGCCTACCCGTTGCCTTATGACGAGTGAGTGCTGGGGAGGGACTGGACCCGCTGTATCTTGATGCATTGGCGTTGCTCCCTCCCATCAGCTGCCCTATGACGAGTGAGTGCGGGGGACAAAGAAAGGGGCAGGATCTGTTGTGTTGTGCACTGCAGCTCACTGTAATCCACAGGCGCCCCTCGCCTATCCCCTGTCCTACGACTAGTGAGTGCCTGGAGGGCTGCGCTTTTGTTATGTTATGACAGTGCCGAGTGCGTGAGGAAGAACAAAAGGCTCGGAGGACTTCGCATTTTCTCTCATTAATATACTTAGATGTAAAATTAATTGTTGACGCTTTGTCTTCCACCGAATAGCTTGCACGTATTCTATCATGTCAACGCCCATTATAAAAACGACTGTAAGCCATCCGTGCTGACCGCTACCGTCTTCCCGTTCAGTCACGTGGCTGAACTCGTGGGTGCCCAACAGGTTAGCGACAAGTCAGCGCAGCTGCCGCAGGTCGTCACTCATTGTGTTCGTCAGTCACGTGACCGTATTCCCTTAGTCAAGTGACACCGTCCCCTGTGCGCCCGCCAGTCACGTGACCGACTGCTGGCGTGTGATCGGCCGCGACTCCCGGCTCTCGAGTAACATCCTGCAGCAGTTTATGGAGCTGGTCAGCTCGTCTGCGCCCTATGAGGAGCAGCGGGATCCCGGCCGTGAACAGCCCGTCCGTATCGCCATGCTGCAACCGCTCTGTGTAAGTGAGGGGCGCGTTGGCAGGGGAGGGGGGGTGGTCTTGGTCGGTCTGGTGATGGAGCGAGGAATGATGGTGGTGGTGGTGGTGAATGGTTGGTGGTGGTGGGGACTAAGAGAGCTTCTTATCTTCAGAGATTTTTTTTTGTAAACGGTTGATATTGAGTACTGGGTTGAACTTCATTTTAGTTCGATTGATGTGATTTATGGAGGATGCTGCGTGAGCTTTACCAAAGAAGATGGGTTTTTACAAGTTGGTACTTCACGTCTCGTTTGTGCTCAAGTTCTGAATTCTAAACTTGATATTGCCATGAAAGGAATGAACAAAATGAAAATGGAAAACTAATTTCCCGATATTTGAGCTTGTTATTCTCCGACCGAAATGAAACAATCGGCATGAACAGACTATTATTGATATCGATGAAGAGATATTTTAGAGAACTAACACCAAGCAAAGGTTGATCGCGGGGGTTACTTAGAAGCGAGTAACTGCAAATCAAGTTTTTTTCTTTTTTTCCTACCTCCCTAGATGTACATTGTACAATACATAATGCATGAATGTTTTTGTACGTACCTTGCTCTGTCGCTTGCATGACGTCTTTGCTTTATGTTTGCCTGAATTATTCTTATATCAATGAAAAAATACCATCGATGAAAGTTATTTAATCTCTTCAACATTCTCTATTCTCTGTTTCTTTCTAGCATTATTTCGCGTCTTCTGCGCGCCTGTTTGTGTGTCCTGTTTGCCTGGGTGTGTGTGTGTCCCGCCGGGCCGGTGGTGGGTCTGGGTCTGGGTTTGGCGCTGGTGGTGGCCGCTCTCTGGCACGCTGTCCCTGCTGCGCGCAGCTGCTGCACCCGGCGCTCTGGCTGCCGCTGATGGTGGTGGCCCTGCTGGTCTGCGGCGCGCCGCTCGCCCTGCTGCTGGCCACTGTCGTCTACCCGGCGTGCCGCACGGTGGCCGCCCTGGCGGCGCCCAGCCGGCAGCCGGCGCGCCGCTGGCTCACCTACTGGTGCCTGCACGCGCTGCTGGCCGTGCCGGGTCCGCTGTGGGTGGACGCGCCGGCCGCGCTCCGACTCAGCCGCACGGTCGTGCTGCTCTGGCTGGTGGCGCCTACGCGGCTCGGCGGCGGCTGGCGCTGGGCGTATGGCCGCGTGTTCCGCCGCGCCGTGCTGCGACGACACTCACTGCATACTGAGGCCACGTGGAGGCTGCGTGAGCTGCTCGATGTGGCCGCGGAGAAGTCTGCCCAGCTCACCGTGGAGGATATGGTGGCGCAGATGGAGACCGAGACCGCCGAGCCGGGCGCCGGACTGGACTCGGACTCCGATCTCTCCGACATGGAGCTGGAGCGGGCGCTCCAGGAGGCGGCCGGCTGGCTGCCGCACGGAGAGCTCTTCGCTGACGACGAGGCGTCTCCAACACCTCCCTCTGTGCTCTCTCGGCCGCCGACCCCGGCCAACTCCTCTCGGCCGCTGACGCCGGTGGGCGCGCCGCCGACAGCTGCGATGCCGCCGCCGCCCCTCCCGGCGTCACTCCCGGAGAGGAAGCGCTGCCTGACGGAGCGACCAGCTCGCCGACGGATGCCTTCAGGTCGGCCGCCGCTGCCGGCGCGTGTGGCGGAGCTGGCGGGCCGCGCGGGCGCGACGGACTCGGCCGGTGACGGCGACTCGATGAGGCGCAGGAGTTCGTCCTGGTTCGGCCGTCTGGTGGGCGGCGACCAGCCGGAGGCCCGACCGCAGCATCGCAGGAACCGCTCCGTCTCCGGCCGGCGCACCTAGCGCGGCTGGCAGGCGCCGGTGGGCGTCGTCGGTCAGCACGTTACATCGGCAGACAGGCAGTAGACAGATGCAGCCTCTACCGCAGTGGGAGACGTATCAGACACCGCCTGCGCCGCACACGCTAGCTGGGAAAATAACAGTACATCAGAAGACATCCGCTGACGCCTCGAAAGTCGAACTCCGGAAACATTTCGACCTGGAGCACCCATCACCATCGGACTTCACGAGGAGTGGTTAACATCAGACGACTCTCCGCCACGCGTCGTCTCAAATGTGGTCATTCGTCATGTCTATGGCTGGGAGGGGGGGGGGACGATAGGGGAGCGGGAGAGGGGGCGCATTTCAGGGATCGGGTCGGGGCGGGGAATGGAATAGAAACCCATGACGGGAGGGGAAAGCCGAGAGAAAGAAAGTTGGGAGAGTGGGCTAGCAGGTAAGGGCTAGGATGGATTGGATATTGAGTCCAGTTTATGGGTCTTTTTAATATGTTTTGTGTGTGCTGTGAATTGGGAGCTATATAATAGTCATCGTGAGCGAAACGCCAAAGCGAATATTGGCAAGGTTCTCAGAATATTATCAGGATAGAATGTCGTTTCGACACGGAGTGCAATATAACTAGTTAGGCAAAAGTAGTAAGCAGTGAAATGATTATGAATGTCAAATGGCTACCATCGATCGCTGGACCTACTGGTAGTGCTTTTACTGGACTGAGCTCGGTCGTTTGTAGGGATGTTAAGTGCCTGTGTAGGGATGTAAAGTGCCTGTGCGTCTTGTCGGTCGATAGCTTTGTCGTGGCTGGGCTCTTCATATGACGACTGGTTTGAATCAGGTCGGCTGTGACTCTTGGCAAGCCTTTTCTAGCTGTTAAGTCTCTGAATAGCACATTGATAGCCGTTTTTGGGATTCAGTGCGGTTCAGTTGTACCGAGGCATGCTCGACGAGATCTGATATTTTATGTAAATGTTGCAGAAGAGGGGAGTGATAATACACGATTTGTATTTTACTTTGTATTCAAAGTGATGATAAAGGTGATAATTTTCGGAGCTCGGGCATATTATTCCATGGATATTTTTGTCTTCAAAATCTGCCTTGATAAATGATCTTCGTTGCATCACACGGACATCTAAAAATTGCAACAACGTCTGTCTCATCTTGCTGAACCGTGTCGTTACCAAGTTAAGCCAGTCGCTGCCACGCTGTATACACTTCTCGCTCGTCCAGCACTGAATCTACCGCGAAACATAAACACAGGCGCGACAAGTGCCGACACCGGACGGCTGGAGATTTGACAGTCCCTGGGGACCCCGCCGCGCCCGGTCCACAGACTGCATGGCCTGAATGGTACAGCTAGGGACATCTGGCGGTGACTGGATGAAACTGAGCTTTGGGCCCCGCCGACAGGGAGCGCGACTGAACGGTGACCTGTGTTTGATCGGGGTCGATGACCTGATGATTGAGGACTGGGTCGTGTTAGTGATGGTTGATGAAGGCTGCTTCGACACCACAAGGCTATGAGCGCTGTCTGGCTTGCTCTCTGGCTTGTTCCACTCTGACCTGACCTGACTTGACTTGGCATGACCTTGGCAGGTTGATATTTGACCCTGGCAAGTTTAGGATTGCTTTTTGTTTCCAACGTAATCCTTACTTGTAGAAAAAAACACCTTATCGACATTCAGACAAATCCTTATCATACCCAGCCTTACCAGCCCGAACTTCTTTCATCTTTCAGCCCGAATCTGTTTCACCCTGTATCATTTATATTTCTGACCAATTCAAAAAGATATGGGAACTTTACCCCTGAAGTGACCATTGCGCCTGAACGGTGATTCATACCCCTGACCAGTTACTCCCCTGGCCTCATCCCCCGACAATCAAGTTACGTAGCGCAACTGTTCAGCTCTAACCACCTCCCTTTACCCCCCCCCCCTCCGACAGGCCATCAGCGCGAAAACTGAGCTGTTCAGTTATAACCCTCTCCTTATCCCCTCTGACCCTCCCGTTACCCCCTCTAACCACCCCCTTTACTCCCCCTCCAGGCGATCAGCGCGATGACTGAGTTGTTCAGTCTGCCGGAGCTGGCGGACGCGTGCGGCCCGGACGTGCCTCAGCTGCTCTCTCGGCTGCTGCTCGCCCAGGCCGCCTACGTGGGCGTCTTTCCCCCGGTCTCCGGCGCCATCAACAAGAACCAGCCGGCCCACTCGTTCGTGCCCAACCGCAGCGCCTACAAACTCAGTCCGTTCAGGTACGGAGATATGAGGGAAGGGGCACAGTGGCAGGGAGCTCGGGCTAGGAGAATGCGGCACTTAGGGAGCCTAATGGAGGACTGGTTTGGTGTGCTGCGTTGGATGGTTTCAGATAATTGTCTAGAATAAAGCTCGATGCTCCGGGCTGTCTTCGTTGCTTCGTACGTTCGGTAAATCGTTTATTGTATCGTGTTATTAACTTTTTATTCGCCCATTCATTGGTGCGCTCGTTTCTGAAGGTATTTCTTCAGAATGGACAATAAATATCGTTTTTGGATGCTGACTTTACAGCCCAATGTATTGCCTATTCCACTCCCACGCTCATCCCTAGCTAATTTGTGACCAGTGCTGAGTGACTATGCGCTGACCGTGTTTCATTTTTGGTCCGCCAGGATCGCCAGTGAGGCGCTGCTCTCGTTCCTCCGCTGTGTGAAGCTCACGGAGCTGGCAGAGGTGCTGACGTCACACTGCGAACAGCCGCACGAAGATCTCAACCGCTACTCGGACTTTGTCATCGACCTGTCCAGGTAAGGCTGAACCGCTGACTGAGTCACTTCTGCGCGTGCTATCTTCGCTTTGTTTTGAGGTCTGATTATGGCTCCTGATATCAAGAGTGAATGCAATGCAGCAACTTATTGATTTTGGTCACAAACATGATGCACGCATTACATTGCAATTGCCAGCAGTGCTAATCTATGGAATCTAGCTTCATTCTTTCTTGATGCATAATCTTGATCTTCTAGTAGTGCCATCCATGACCTCAATACTCTCCTTTGCTCTTTCCCTGTCAGCCACTATGCCCCGTCGAGCAGCATCGGCTTCTGACATTTCCCTCTCCCCCTGCAGCGCTCTGGTGACCCACAGTGCCCACCTGATGGCGCCCATGGTGAAGTGCCTGGCGCCCGACCTATCCAGTATGTATGAGGCACAGCGGATCGCGGCTGTGGCCTTCTACGGAGAGGTAAGTCGAACGGTAGGGACAATGGTCGTCGTGTGGTGTAGGAAGAGTGCTGTTATGATAAGCTGTCCTAGTTTGACCGTGGCGACAGGATAGGTCTTGCGCTGTAACGCGACACTGTGGCCAGGAGTGAACATGTGACCTGACCTTATGACCTAACCGTATGGCCGAGGACCCTGTGTCAGTGATGACGCCGTGATCTGACCTTGTGAAATGACATGGCCTGACCTTGTACCCTGATTGTGACTTGACCCCGTGGTCTGACCCCTGTGACCTGACATCGTCACCTGACCCCGCGCCCCCACCGACAGCTGGTCCACCACCGGTGCGCGGGTAACCTGTCTCTGATTGAGACCGTGCTGACCAGCCTGTCGTCCCGTCTGATCGACTCGTCACCCGTGGTGCGGCGGCTCTGTCTGCTCGGACTGGGCCACATCAGTCACCTGGATCATCCGGGGGTGAGTGACGTTATATTATACACATCAGTCACCTGGTCTACCGGGGGTGAGTGGCTTCATGTCATACACACATACCAGTCACCTGGATCCCCCGGGGGTGAGTGACGGGATATCATACGGGGGAATAACACATCGGCAGCCTGGACCATCCGGGAGCATTCATGGTGTCACAACACCGACACACCTCAGTCACATTCACAGGAAGCTAAGTAGAAGATGAATTATCTCGAAACTTGTGGATCTTGCGTTGGTATTTGTTGGAAGTATTTAACCCTGAGTGATTCGTATCTGCTTAGTTGTCGTAAAACCGCAACATAGCTCTCCGCCCGCTGGGATCGTGGAGTGACCGATATATTATTCCTTTTTCAGGGATTCGGTGTCGACTACACACATTTGGTAAGTCTTCATATGTTTCTTAGGCTTCATAAGGATATCTTGTGGTATCCTACTACAATTTCCTTGCTGAAGTTGTTTATTAAGATTTTCACTTCTTCGGGATTATTAGAAAGTCACTCGTAGTACGCGCTAAATCGCAGTGTCTGTGTTTATTGCTGCCGTGCAAAGGCAAAAATACTCTGTTGGGTCATTCAACCTCTGACCCAACATGTCCTGACCCAACATAGTAGTTTTTGCCTTTACACGGCAGAGGTGTCCTGCGTATCAGTCTTCCTTTCAGTAGCGTGTCACCCTGCTGACCTTCGTTCTTCCCCCGTTTCCCCTAAACCATCCAGTCCGCTCAGCAGTGAATGTCTGTCCTACTGACCCCATGTCTCACCCTTTTCTCCCCTAGATCGGCCAGTTTGCCCAGCCGGTGATGTCTGCCCTACTATCCCCCCGTTTCCCATGTTTCTCCTCGTAGATCAGCCAGCTCGCACAGTCGGTAATGTCCGTCTTGCTAACCCCATGTTCCCTCTTTCTCTGTATAGATCGGCCAGTTCGCCCAGCCTTTCAAGTTTCATGTCGGCTCTGCTGACTGTGTCCCCCCTGTCCCCTCCCTAGATCGGCCAGTTGGCCCAGCCGCTGATGCCCGCGCTGCTAACTCTATTCCCCCGTCCCCCATAGATTGGCCAGTTCGCCCAGCCGGTGATGTCTGCCCTGCTGAACCCTCTCCCTCCTAACCCGCTGTCTCCCCCGTTTTCTCCCCCTAGATCGGCCAGTTCGCCCAGCCGGTGATGTCGGCTCTGCTGACTATACCCCCGTTTCCCCTAGATCGGCCAGTTCGCCCAGCCGGTGATGTCAGCACTGCTCGGCGGACTGGACGACCGCGAGGAAGCCGGTGATGGAATCCCTCTGCAGGCCATGACAGCCCTGTGCGGTGTGCTGAAGGTCGTCTCTAACGAGCAGGTGCAGCACACGCTCATACCAATCACCATACGGATACGAGTCTACTTCGAGAGCGTGAGTACTGGTGGAGGGAGGAAGGGGTTATGTGGGAGAGCAACTGATATGATGTGTGCTTTGGTGCTTGTCTCGTCGGATTTTATAGTTCGATCCTATTAACCGCTATAAGTGGCTGCCCTGTAAAAGACGAAGAAAGACAGCTTTTCACGTGAATGGACTCTGTCGTTCTTATGCATAAGAGAAGTCAATTCGTGTGTCTCAGAGCTGGAGTATTCCCCCCTTCCTGCAGGGAGGGTGGAAGGTAACCTTCCTCCCTCGTTTGGAGCGGGCGCCCCCAGCCGCCTCTGTACGTTGCTGACGTCCTGTTTCCCCTGCCCGCCCACAGGAGTCAGTGGCGCTGCGTTCCACCTCGCTGGGCCTGTTTGGCGCGTGCTCGGCGTTCTGCCAGGGCGGCCTGCACGACCAGTACATGGAGCAGGCGCACAACAACCTGGTGTCGCTGCTGATTCACCTCAACGACCCCGAGCCCAGCGTCGTGCTGGTGAGAACATGGGGGTCAGGATGAATAGGGAGGAGCAGGGAAGGGGCGGGACAGGGCAGGAGTTACGGAGACGCGGGACCGTGATCAGGCGATAGGAACGCAATTCTGGTCAAAATGTCATGTAAAATGTTGTGATTCTCTTACTCAACGTTGACCGATGGGACCCGGAGAGACCTTATGGAACCTTGTCTAATCCAATTTAGCCCCAAGAGTCCCGCCGTAGCACAATGCGACATCGTGAGATCCTGTGACCTCTTTTGACAGATAACCACTGTCTGACCATATGCTAACCCGTCAGGGCCTTATAACTTCATTGAACTCTGTGGTCACCTTCTCACTCTGTGACCCCTTCTGGCCTCCACTAGGCGTGCAAGTCGAGCCTGCGTCAGGTGGGTCCTCTGCTGGACGCCAAGGGCATCAACGCGATGCTGCAGAAACATCTCATCGACGAGGGGAAGCTGCAGTACGCCAACTTTGTCAGCGATCTCTCCAAACTCATGGTGAGGAATGGGAGTGGCTACCGGCTGAATGAACGGGTGGTGGCTGGCTGAGGGGACCGAGTGGATACTGGTGTTGACTTGTTACATATCAATGCACCAATAATGTCCAGCAGCAGCTCAGTGCAAGTGACTGCTCAGCTTTCCGATTATTTGTCTGAAATATGGAATAATTGCCGTCACTAACAGAGATTGTCTACCCCAACAAGCATGTCATATTACAGTGTTCATGAACTCAGCGCACAATAAACCTTAAACCATATTCCGTCATTCAGCTCTCCACTGCTCAACATGTGACCCCACGTCTCCTCAGGTGGAGGAGCTAGAGCCGAAGCTGCACATGTACATCATGAGTCTGCTGGCTCACTTCCGCTCCGGATGGACGGAGCTGAAGGGCACCGCCGCGCTGCTCGTCGGTAAGGCTCGGGCGGGAGGAAGATGGGAATTGGGAGGAAGAGTGACTTGAGGATTGATACTTGAATGAAAGCTCACGCAAGTTTTCAGGAATTTCCTTCTGGCTGAATGTAAGCTGATGGCGTTACTCTTACACATGAATAACGCATTAATCTGCTACACATTCTGTCCTATTTGCTATATTACGTTTGGTGCCTCTTTGTGTCACATGATGTAACATTCCCGTGCCCCCTTTCGCAGCGTTCCTGTTGTGTAACCTGCCCGCCGAGCATCGCTCCAACGTGAAGGTCCAGCCGGTCTGCTCCGGTCTGAAGAAGCTGCTCCAGGACTCTGACTGGCACGTGCGGTCACAGGCCGCCAAGGCCATCTCCCTTCTGCACGACTACTGAGCCGGCGTTTCTCGGGTGAGACCTAGGAGACCTCAGGACTTGTAAGTGATGACCTGAGGTGGCCTTACCAGAGCCAGCATTCTGTGACCTTGAGTGAGGTCTGAGGTGACCTCAGGACTAGTGAGTGATAACCGGAGGTGACCTTACATGAACTTTACGGCCCTGTTTGGGGGTCGCTCATTACAGGATTAGAACGAGTGACCTCTCTCATACGGACCGTCACGTTGTGCGCGTGTGCGTGTGTGTGTGTGATAAGCAAAAGCCCTTCCGGACGCCTCCATATAATGTGAGCCTCGTGAATGGAGCGGCTGTTAACGAAGCTGCGGAGTTTCGTTCCGGACTCTGAACTGTTGCGCTGGGAGCTCTGTGTCTGGACCAAGCCAGGAGTGATTTCCCTGGTTCTTGACTATCACACGCAGGCTCAGGGCCTGTCTGTCAGACTTGCCATGGTCGGGCCCTCTAAGAGCTGGTGGCAGTGGGTTGCCCTTTGAGGCCTTGCTACAGTCTCTCGCACGAAACTCTAGTCGCACAATGTCATGAAGAGTGGGCTCTAGACTTTCACTGTTGCGTTTTCCCTCGCCTTAGTGTGAACATACGTTATGTTAGGGGCATTCGCCAGAAACTGTATCGTTTGCTTATCGAGTCAGAAACTTGACTGAAGACTGCGATATTTTGTCTCGTTTATTGGCTACATGAATCGTTGGGTAGTCGACAACGCATAAAAGTTAAGTATAATCATAATTATGGCTAGTCGCGCTGTCTGGACTGTCGGCTGCCGTCCGATCGACAGTGATTCCTTGGCAGCCCTCCGTCGTTACTGTAACTGACAAATTCTGCGCCGCTGTGATCACATTTCACGACTACTCTGTGCCGCCTTTTGCCGCGGCCGGAGCGCCCTAGCCAGTGTCTGTCGCTGCACAGAGGCCGGGGTTCGGGTGGCAGTGTGCGACAGATCAGTGGCCGCGTACAGAACACTCCCACACGGCTGTGACGATGAGACAGTCGCTTCTGAGTTGTGAGTCCGTGGCCGGCGCCACTGGTGCCGTGAATCGCGGCTGGAATTTGTACCTCGGGGGCTCCGCCGGAGTGCTTATCCGTGTTTCCGTTCATTGTATCTCGCCGCGCTGTGTATCGGTCAACTGGGGTTTCCGCTGGTTGTTGTACGCATTCCGCGCTGCTCGCCGCTGTATAGTATGTCCTGTGCGGCCCGTGTAGGTGATATTTATGCCGATAGATGGCAGCAGCTGCGCCAGTGCCTTGCGCCGGACGCGCCGCCGCGTCACCAGTTATCTCGTGCAATGGTTGTCCCTATCGCCGTATACCGCCGTAGTTGCGGTGTCGGACTCCGGCGTTAGTACGAGGCGTCGGTAGGGATATCGGCTTGTGGGGGTGTTCTGCGCCGGCGCGTGTGATACTTTATATCAAACGGCGCATCAGGTATATTCATTTGCGCCGTGTGTAATTCGGTTCGCCTCTGTAACTGGCGACCTCCGAGGCATTATATTATTATGGCCGAATGGTTGTTGTTGAGTGGTGAAGTTGAAATAAAGAGCTATAGTTGGAATAACTGGTTGTTTGCTAGAAGTACAACTTACACAAATTAATAAGCTCGCAAGAAGATGAAACTTGCAGGACATCGTTAGCTCCCGGGCCCACACTTATTATATTTTACCAGTAAAACGCCTTTTGGGCGAAGAACGAGCGAGCGAGATAGTGAGCCCTGCACGTGCGGAAGGGCGAGAGGGTACTTCCAACGGGCTTGTGCAAAGCACCCTTCTAACCGGTCGCTAGCGGTGTGCCAAATTTGAACGCAATCGGCCCAGCCGTTCCTGAGATCTGGAAGCGGCATTCTGCACGTGCGCACGTGCAAACGGGGTCCAAAATGACTTTTGCACGGCACCCTAATAACCGGTCCCCAACCGTGTACACTCGGGGGCAGATTGATGTTCCACCACTCCCTACCCATCGGGCTCCCATGGCTCAGCACTGGCTGCTGCCAGTGGCAGCACTGGCAGCACTGGCACTGGCAGGCAGTGCTGAGCAGTGCTGAGGGCAGGCAACACTGGAAGCAGCCAGTGCTGAGCCATGGGATCGCCCGATGGGTAGGGAGTGGTGGAACATCAATCTGCCCCCGAGTGTACCTAATTTGAGCGCAATCGGCCCAGCCGTTCTCGAGATCTGGAAACGCCCCCTGCACGTACGCACGTGCAGTAGCACCCTAACCGCAACACATGGGAATGCATTGTCTGGTGGTTGCCTACCTGTATGCCAAGTTTCAGCGAAATCGCCCCAGTAATTACCGAGTTACTGAAATGGGAACAAATTTGGCACCTCTTCTTTTTGTATTTTGCACGCGCAGTGGGGGTCACTCACACAGATCAAGAGTATCCGACCTTTGGTAGAAGGGATGCAGCTACCCTATAAAAATTACCGCAAAACAATCGCTGACGCCGCTGCTAAGATATGGGTCTCTCAAAATCATTACTTTTGCAAAACTGCTTGAACACCCTTGACTTTTCACGTGGTACGTGCCACGACGGTCACTGAGATGTATCAAAAGTAGTCAATTACGGGGTAGAAGGGATGGGGCTACCCAGCAAAAAAAGACTGCAGGCCAATCGGTCCAGCGGTTGCTGAGATATAAGCCTCTCAAAAGCGTTACAGGCCGGGCCGGGCCGGGCCGCTCATACTGAGATTTTTCCGTTATTTTGAAAAGACTTCGCTTCGCTCGCTGCGCTCGCTCGCTCGTAATCATATTTTGCTTAACCCTCGCCCCGCTGAGGCCCTCGGTCCCCCAGATTTCCATGTCGTGCTGGGGGGTGTCGTTTGACCCCCCCCCCCTTCTAGCACGGCTTCTGGGTCACGTAGCCAGTAGCCAGACGCGGCAGGCGGCGTTCGAAAGTACGTCAAAGGTAATGAGAAATTACGAAGGTCATTTTTAGGTGAGGTAAAGGTCAGGGCACGAGAAGTCATCGAAGGCTAAATTTCGCATTGACAATTTTCGACAAACCGGCGCATAGCTCGAACTGAATAGAGCTACAGCCCCGCAAGCATTTGATAGCCCTTTTAACGCTCTTTCCGGTCAATCTTCTCATGTTTGACTGAAGGTGAACGACTTAGGGCTTAGCCTTCAGAGGGCAAAAACTGCCAAAAATAGACCTTTTAACTTTTTAAGGAAAGGCCCTTTTTCTCAAAAACCTTTTCTCGAACCTTGCACGAGCCTAACTTAACCGGCATTTTTAACATTTTGAAAATCTGACTTCAGGTCAAGGTCATGACCTGATCGGAAAAGGTAATGTTGCATATCAGTCGATACGTATCGTTGAGGTGTTTTCACCGCTTTAGCATGTCCCTATCAAAAGTTGCTGTCAAAAAACTGTTGGGGAGCTTTCATGACCTGACATGACCTCAGGGGCACAAAGAGAGGTCACGGGTGCAATTTTCCGATTCAGTGTGTTATCCCGCGCCCCGTTGGGCTCTGCCGAGCAACGCGCCCCGTTGGGGGGGGGGCATTTTGCCCCCCCCCTAAGATCTCGAGAACCACGCAACCTAGCGACAAGCGGCAAACGGTGTTGGATAGCCCCATCAGGGAACTACCTTGTGACCCAATTTTATTGACCTAGGTCAAACCGATGACGTCACAGGTCTGGTCAAATGTCCAATTTTCACCGTTTACAGGCATTTCAAGAAATGCGTTGTAAAATCGAGTAAAATGCATTTCATTGAAAATCGTCGATGGGGAAATGTTCTTCAAACACATATTTTGCTATTTGAGGTCATTGATACTAGGTCAGGTCACAGAGGTCAGGTCAGGTCACGGGGGATCACAATATGAAAGTGTCGTGTGATACATGTTTTATGGTCCATTTTACATGACATATGCGATTATGTGGGTCAGGCAGCCTTTGGGGCCAGCTTATGTCACGTTTTGGTCAAGGTCAGGTCAAGGTCAGGTCAAGATCAGGTCAAATAAGGTCAAATTACAAAGTTGATATTTTTGCATAAAATGGGTATCGAATCGATGCAGCTCGTCACAGGAAGTTCAATGGTGGTCTTTGTTTTGCCGTACGTGGTTTAGAATCGCTAAAAATTGAGTTCAAAAATTTGACGTCATCATTTTTGAACAGTTTTTCGCTATAACTTGGCCAAAAAACGAGATATCGATCTGAAATTTGGTATGTATATAGAAGAGCAAAGGGACTATCACATATATTCCGGTTTTTTTCGAAATTCGGAATTTTTTTTGATTTTTTTTTAGTTTTTCTAAAAAAAATCAATTTTTTGAATTTTTTGGGTCAAAAACCAAAAATTTTGAAAATCCGAGATAGCAGTTTTGTAGCGCCGCTTTTTGTCTACTAGACCATATAAAGAACTTTGAAATTGCTTGATAACTGTAGATTTGGTGAGCGTTTCAAGATTGCATGTGTTTTGCTCATTTTTGCTCGAACATGACCTCAGTTTGACCGCAATAACTCCTGACCTAAGGTGACCTAAGACTTGAAATTTGGTGTGAAGGTGACAAATTGATGCCCGGGAAGGTACTGAAAATTTGGCGGCGCTGCACGCCGCCGTTTTCTTGCTATTCAGGAAAAACCACGGGGGGGCAAAATGCCCCCCCCCCAACGGGGCGAGGGATTGCTTAGATATAAACTGATGTTATAGAGTTTTTAGAACGACATTCATCACAAAAGCATTTCAATTTTCTCCCATAGAATATCCTTATAGAATATCCTCGTTCATATAGGCCTGTCCCGTAGCTCAGTTGGTAGAGCATTGGACTCCCGGTGGTGAGAGCCCGGGTTCGAGACGCTCCGGCGCTCGATATATGAGACTCCTGACGGGGATGGTCTGCGGTTGGTGGGAGCAGCCGCAGCCAGTTGAAGTCAGTTGAGTGGGACAGGCCGTGTCCGGCTTTGAAGGGCACGTTAAACTTTGGCATCTAAATTCTCCCGTTACCCGGAATTGCGCGATCGGACGGTAGGGGTCGGGGTCTACGCAACAAGCTCTGCTTAGCGTGGGCTCCGGCTCTGTCAATCCGTCCATTCAAACATTCGAGCTAAATTTATATAAAAAAAAATATGCGCTCAAGGTCAAGGCTTAAAGCGAGACCGGGATTCCATATTTGTAGTCCTTTTTGCCTAGCTGTCATTTTATCATTCTGAGTTCAGCTTTGTTATCTGAAAGCTGCTGGTGACTCGCGTCCGTTACCTTAGTGGAAAATGTTCAGGCGCCGTGTAATGCGGTACAGCATACGTAACAGGCGTTCGCTACCGCTGCCATCTAGTGGCCGAGATGTAACAAGCTGAACACCGTATTCATTGTTTATAATTCTCTCGCATTTTCTCACGCTTATTGTTAGTTGATCATGCAGTCTAAAATATGTTTGTCAAGAAAGAAAAGACACAACATCGATAAATGATTTATTAAATCAAATTTTACTATAAATATACTTTCCCAGGACAATGACAGACAAAAGAACTTCTTTCATTACACGCCACGGTGTTTGAGTTCAGACACTAGCCAGAAGCAACAGTGTTGTTTGCATTCACGGTATTTTCAGCACGCAAAGGTTGAAGCCGGAGACGTGAAGCATGAGCCTGACGAAGAGGATGGCGGCCATGGCGGTCAGGATCGGGTGCTGCGCCAGGCCGTACTGCAGCTGGGAGAGGCCCTGCCAGACCTTGGTCATCAGCGACGGCCCGCGGTACTCCTGGTTATCCGAGTCGTCGCCCATGAACGGCCACTGCCGGCTGGATATCTGAAGACGGGATAAAATATAGCGTTAGGTTTGCTTTATGCGAGGTTGACATGTAACTACGTAGCGTAATTGAAGAGTGTACCCCATATTATCGTTATGTGTCACAATTCGAGCGATTCAACGTCATAATTTGCTCAAAATTGTTATATGCAAAGTGATATACTTGAATTGACTATGCAAGCATGTTTCTTCAATAAATGAGTAAAGAAAAAGACAACAGCCGAGGAAGGGTGCAAAGGCATTTAAAAAAGAAAGTGCATGTGTGGGACGCACACTTACCCAGCTTTTATTCTTCTGCGTTGACTGTTTTAGTGGTTCCTCGACTATTCCAGCCTGCATGCAGTCCTCACAGTCACATGGCGGAGCACCCTGGTTCGCCACGTCATCGACGACTGCATCTCCAGCTGGGTCGGGTGCTGGCCGAACCCTGGGAGAACGGTTTCGTCGTCTCGGCATTTTCGATTTTTATAACCACGCAAATAAGCCTTTACTACCTAGCCTACAAAACTTGAACTTCACCGAAGACTTAGAAAAAGAAATAAGCTACGCCAAATTTAGCTGAAGTTGATACCAATCTTTAAAATTCGCAAATAGTTTCTCTTTTCGATAAATACCCTATCGCAAAAATTGCATTCAACGTCAAATGAGATGCTGAATAAAATGCAGCACGAGCTTCTCATGAGCTTTCCTGAAAAGGCATCTTCCTTTTGTGTTAGTATAAACTGGCATATAGGAGCCTCCAATGTTCCAACAAATAAAAAAGTGTTGACCGTGTTTACGGTCGAAGCAACTATGTGTAGTGTTGGATG